TTACAGTCAAACTAGAAACACTTTTTTGGTTAACGAAATATGAGATTCTGCCTTTCACTACCTAGTTCTAGAATCCTAGGGAAAAAAAAAAAAAAGCTTTGCACCTTCCTTTGGGATTGTATAGAATAAAAACCAAAGATGCTTGGATGTACTTAAAGACTGTCAATAAGTGAGAAAAGACAAGAGAAGWGAGACTGCAGCGTCACTGCAGCTGAAATAGTGGCACTTGGTTTGATGAATCCAGTCGGCTCTCTTCTCTGTGTTTCCTTGATTGAGCATCACATTTTACAGGGTGATATTTCTCCAAAGAAGAATTTACAATCAATAAATAATTTCAGTCAAGATAAGGCTTATCCTCTAGAATAACTCCTTGTTGACAGTTCTGAAATTCTCATTAAAAGTGCCTCAGTCATTACACTTCGAATGGGTCTCTGACATCTGGAAATGTCATTATACAGAACCAAAATAGTAAAAACAAATATGCTGTTTGGGTTTTGGTAATGTTTTAATCAGTCAGTGAAGATTTTATGTTAGAGCTTGTCAGATTTTATTGTATCAAAATACTACCAGTCTAATTTATAAGTGGTAGGGTTTCTCAAAAAATAGTATGTTTTGTATCTGTTCCGTAATTTCTGAGTGCAAGCCTTAGCTATAAAAGATAAACTTGAAAGCAAATGCTGGTTAGTGTTATCACCAYTAATATTCCTTAGCACCCAGAAGTGCGGACAAATAGAGTTTGCATCCCCAAACGTTCACAGGCTTACGGCCTCTCTCTGATTTAGCAGCTTTGTTATCGGCTGCTAAACAGACCTCCTTGCTCAAGGTGACTGCCCTGTGAGGAGAGAGAGATGTAAATTTGTATGAGCTCTTCAGTCTCCACAGTTCATACTTGGGTGTTTGAGTTTTTATTGATGCTGTTAAATCCAGCAGGACCTGTCAGCTAGTGCCCCTGTGTACCTCCTATTGCAACTTCTGTCTCTTTCCTCATTGCTTTCCCCTCCTGTCACTGAAATGAAATTCTTGACTGCTTTTCCACTGAAGGTTGTAGAAAAGGTTCCAGTTTGTGTTTTGATAATGTTAATTTTTATCCAGTTCTTGTTGGAGTCTTTCAYCCTTCTCTCCCTCTCTGTTTTCTATACTGTACCTATATTACCTATAGCTTCTGCTCTGGGGGTGCAATGCCCTTCACCAAAGGGTCATCCAGATCTCCAGTGCAAATGGATAATCTGATATCACCAGATGGCAGTAAGGCTGGAATAGGTTGTTGTAGCTCTGTCTAATGGGACTAAGGCAGTCTGAATTGTTCCAGGATACCTGTGTCTCTGTTATCCTATGTTGTGGGGGCCTCAACAAGAAATACAAGCAGGGAATTTCCAAATTCTGCTACCACTGCATCTCCTTTGCAAGCAGGAATGAGTTGTGCTTTAAAATACAGGTTCTGGGTGGCTCTGTTGTACTAGTTTGCTGCTCTGTACGGCATGCACTAAAGAACACAGGATGTGTCCTGCCTGTGTCAAGCCTTTTCCTTGCATAGGCAACTGTATTGGATATATCCAGTTCAGGGAGGTTCACAAGGCTCTGTCCCACATGCTACCTTTTGCTGTGGGTCGAACAGCAGTCTGCCTGTACGTTAATCTTGAGATAAAATTATTATCCTAGGATAATCTGGCTGCTCACAGCTGGCCAACTAGTTCTGTGGAGGTTAATGAATCAGCGGAGACTTTATGGGAAAATTAGTTTATAATCTGTTCAGCCCCAAAGAGAATATAGGTGTCTCTTGTCCTGGACAGTGCAGTTACTTTGTGGTACTGCCAAGGGASAGATGATCTCTAAATTCAAAGTTGTTGTTGATGCTGAAATTCCATGGACATATTGGGGTACTTTCCAACATTTAGTACTCCCCCTCTTTTTAAGTGCCCTGCATCTTGACCCGGAACATTGTGGTGAATAATCTCAGTAAACCTAAAACTGAACCTGATAGCACTTTGAGTAATAAGGTCCACAGATTTGGCTGATTTTATGGATAAATGTATTGGGATAAKGAGGAAACTTCTACACACTCATGGTATTTCCTCATATTTTGCCCTTTTAAGACTTTATTGTCGACAGTGCATAATTAGTCATTCTATAGTAAATTTTCATAACTATAATTTACTCCTTTTACTAAAACGTGAGGAAGAAACTTCTGGCAAAATGTCTTGAGTAAATGACAAGTAGTAAGTTGCAGTTGGTCTTTAATATCCATTATAGTTATATAAATAGAAGAAATGTTCGGGTAAACAGAAATATATCTTCCTCTTTTTTTCCTTTTTTTTTTTTTTTTTTTTTTTTTTTGTCGCATATCTGTTGTTTTTGAGCAATGTATCTTTTGAATGCATGTATTAAAATGGATAAATACTAGCTCACTCTCAGTCTACCCAACAGCTACTCTTTTACAATTAAAGATTTACTATTTTGGAGGTTCATCTCATCTCTAAGGCCCATGGGGGTAAATCAACAACAATACTGCTAGTCAGAATTCCTTTTCATTTTGATGTGTCTCTGTGTGCACTAGTTTGGGTTGAACAAAATCAGTTTGGGGTCTGTGTATCTTCAGTAATGCAAAGTGTTTAATATTTCAGTAAAAGGTTTTCTAAATAATTTGAACAGCAAGAAGTAGATGAAGGAATAGTGTCTAATTTGACCTTTGGTAAGGCCAACTGTGTGGTAGTTGCGCTGCATCTCATTTTGTGTGGACTGTTCTAGAAGAAAAGTCTCCAAGCTTGGTCCTTTATGGTGCAAAATGGTTCGGTTCCTAATGAAGTTAATATGGAAAGATTCAGAAGTGTTTGGAAACCTCACAGGACCAAGCAGGTCTTGGCCCTAGATGCCATTATTAAAAAACATTCATCATGGAGTTCTGGGTCTCTTAAAGAAGTTGTTAGGCACAAATAATTCAAGGACCATTGCTATATCAAAGAGCACACATTGCTAATCCATTCTTTGTGGAAGCAAAGGCTGTTGAATGCGTTCTGGAGACACAAATGGGTCCAAGGAAGAACAGTTCCTAATGAAATTACAGAATTAAAACAATGCAATCCAAAATTTTATTATTAAAAAATACCCAAACCTTGATATTTTGTGGCAGTAGAATGTTGTAATTGCTGTAAGAGTAGCACAGCTGGTATTAATTCTCTTCAAAGCATGTAAGAAAAAATACAAAAAGCAACCTAATAGCCAAATGTATATGTTCATCTCTATGTTAAGTGAGTGCTGACTGCTTCTACAGCACTTTGGAGATGACTAAACTGGTCTGTTTCTGTAGTATTTGCAATGCAGACATCAATGCAGAGAATTAAAACTGAGAATAAAATTTCTAGGGGATGAAAATGCTGTGTTGGTTGCATATGGCATAATGAATTCTCTTCCTCTTCACAGTCAAGTCTTATCATATGTTAAGGGTGGTAAGGATTATTCTTTTTTCACCTAAGTCATGAACACACAGGTTCTATTTTACAACTGATATTGTTTAGACTTTTGAAAGACTTGCTTATTTTTATACCATAGCCCCATTCCCTCACATTAAGGGAATCGGAACTGGCTGTAACCACTAGCTTCGGTGGAAACACTAACATAACCTTGAAAGAACGAAGCTGTTCACAGTTAATAGCAATAATTTCTTGGCKAATGTAACAGGTACAGCTAGTAAAGGTAATTCCACTGTAAGATAAAGATGCTATTAGCAGCAGCTTTTGTACACTTTACAGACCACAAAATGATTCAAAGGAGGCTGCAATTTGAGTTATGCTGTTCCAGAGCAGAATGATTTCAGCCCAGTGCTCCGTTAGTGTCAAGTTCAGACCTGCACTGAGGACGGAAGGAAGCCGTGGTGCAGTCGGAACTGTCAGGTGCAGACAGCAGATGTCTTCCTAGTTATAGATCTAGTTATTGACTGGGTTTCTAGAAAGTGCAGCTTGTACTTGGTGTTTCAGAAATTCATTTGTTTGGGGAATGTAGAGGAAAGAGTCGAGCCTTCTCCCAATAGATAATTCTTGTTTAAATGACCATTTAAACAAACCATTTTTAGTTCCCTTTAGTTTTTGTCTATATTGAAAGACATTTTCTGCTAAAATTTGGACTGTATTGAAAACTTGCCCTTTCAAACACTACAGATTTCTGAAAAATTGCTCTCTCTGAAGACAGTCCAAGCTGCCCTGGCATTTGCCCCTATGCTTTCTGAGTGCTGCATGTGGCTTAGTTAGAGGATCAGAGGAATTATGTCTGTGGCTAAATGTCTGTTCAGACCCAGTCACTTCAGAGTCTCCGTGGAGTCATTCCCAGCTTTATAGCTGGTGTTTGAGTGCAGCACCTTGACAAACATTATTGTTATGTTAAAGCATCACAACTTGCTTCATGAATCGTGTGTTTAGGTTGTGAGAGGGACTCGTAGATGAGCGCGTGTGGATTGCTGATCAAATGAGCTCCCAGAATGAGAAAGAGGGAGGTTTGGGGTGGGTGTAGTGCCCCGCTGGCACGAGCCTGTCGGAGGCAGCCGGTGCCATGGGCATGAGGGTCTCGTGCTTGTGCTCTGAGCACAGGCAAACGTTCCTGCCATCCTAGAGCCGAGCGGAAACGTGGCCTCCTCCATTTTTGTGTGTGTGTATATATATATATATATATATATATATATATGTTCCTCACACATTGATTTTTTTATCCTCGTTTTCCATGTCCTTCTGCTGGCCACTTGCGTAGTGATCCTTTAGGTATCTTGTTGTGCTAATTAAGGTTTTGTGTTTTTCCTCACCATTACATGCTTGTACCTATGAAGCCTGGGCCTGATTCTCTAAGCAGGAGAGGCTCCTCTTAGTGTCTTAACTGAGGAAAAATGAGTATAATGAGGGAGAAGTAGCAACACGATACTACAGAGAATGCCTTGTAACGCATGGAGAAAAGCAAGCACATTGGTGCCTGTTTGGTGTATGGTGCATAYGCTAACACCTTCTTGCTTCCCTTTGAAGGATCGTCGCTTTAACGACGAGATCGACAAGCTGACGGGCTACAAGACCAAGTCGCTGCTGTGCATGCCCATACGGAACAGCGACGGAGAGGTCATTGGAGTCGCCCAGGCAATAAATAAGACTCCCGGAGGTGCCCCTTTCTCTGAAGATGATGAAAAAGTAAGTTTAGCTTTATCTTCATTTGTTCTTTAATTTCACTTGTAGCTTGTGAGACTCCCTTAGAGATAGTCACTCAAATGTGGTGAATAGACTGTTAAGGAATAAATCTTAATGGGTTTTGTAATCAAAACAAAAGGTTATTAATGAGTTCTCAGGGGTGCTAACATCTCACTCTAACATCTCACTTTGTAGTGGATTGCAATACATACTTGATTGTAGTGCCTCTGTTGGAGAGGAGGGGAAGGATCRGATACTTAATCTGCATGTCCAGTTTGTATCTTGTTTTATTGTTCCATGTTTTCTTTTTTACTTAAATTTGATACCTATCTGTTTTCTCAACTATTTAAAAAAAAGGGTTGCTAGAATTAATGTTTTATGAAGATGATATTGCAGCTGCAAAGCAGAAAAGCTGTTTCTTGGTTCATGAGATTGAAGCTAATGATCTACTATTATTCTTGTCTTCATCTCTGGTTAAAAATACCACCTGCTAATAATCCATATTAGCAGAGTCACTGTTAAAAGGCATCATTAACCCTAGATTAAGCAATATCTGCACTGAAAATCACTTCTGCAGCGCTCTGCTCTTAAGTAATTGAATAGTTGTCAGGCTTTCTGACTTTCACCTWCCATACGTGACCTGGAGTCTGTTACTTGTCTTGGGGTTTGTACTAGCCCCTCACAGTATAGTCTTTTTTATAGAGGTTAAGGCTTTAGAGATAGGGTCTTGCAATGTGGAAACAAGAGTTTCTAAGACACTTAACACACTCTAATACATTTAAAAGCTACAAGCTAAGTATAAAGGCTCAAGGGGATAAAAAAGTCTTTGGTATTCTTGAAGGGTAGCTCAAAGAAAATGTTCTAGAAAGATGATAGATTGCTGTAAGACACAAAGACTTCCGAATCATCAGTCAACAAAACATTTGGATAAAAATTGCAGTAGAACAAATAAAATCTTTTTGTTGTGAAAGAAATACTTTGTGTTGGTAGTAAGTCCTAAACTAATAACAGTGTATAAGAGCTGTGAGATGTTGCACAAATTAAACTTTTTTTCTATAGAAACAATAGTAACTATATGACTCCTTTCTGAATATTACATGATTATTTTTACTTGTTATATATATGGAGCAATGAATTTTGTGTATAGCGCATAGCTATTCAATAGTCACTAGAAAAATGTGTTTGACTGGTATGATTAATAATATAAATCTTAATATGAATAATGTCTGTTAATAGTATCACACTCTCTGGTTTGCTATACAGTRAGAGTCATTCAAAATTGGGTGTGTTTTGGAAATTTCATTAGGCAATGGAATCTTTTTCAGCTATCCAGGTGGGAAAATGCTTGCCAGATTCTAAGCAGATACACATTCAAGTTGAGAGAGTAATGATTATCTCTATACTTTATCCTAGATATCTTAAACTATTACGAAAAAATATTTCTTGATATTTGATTATACCAAGAAGCTCCACTTATCGTGCAGTGGAGCTTTTCCAGGAGTTATTCTTATGAACACCTACTCCCATGTGAAGAGCTGTAGCTTGCTTGCCATGTAGCACTGCTTTGGATGCTTTTCCTAACTGCTGCAGTACTGTGTTTTGTTCAGTGCTTGAGCTGTCTGCTAAGCCTTTTGTTAAGCTGCAAGCTTCGGATTCTCATCAAGTCACAGCTGTTTGGATCCACGTTGAAAAATTAGACTTAGATTTGGAMTACAATGTTATTTAAAGTGCATTTAACAGATAAAAGGAGTGAAGGATAAATTATATTAACAGTAAGGATGTGTGTGGTATGAAGACTAATGATACAGGCAGTTCATAGCTCCCTAATTATTCTGCAGTACTGCTTGAGCTTTATATTTTTTTGATAAATGTCGACTAACTGTAGTTACTCTTCATGCTAACACTACTATTAAATTTATAAACTGGAGAATTATTTACAAGAGCAATATTAATTGTACCGCGTGTGTATATCTGGCATCATGTTTTGGTTTTATGCTTTCTTCACTGTGATTTGGAATAATAAAGTCACAGCCCTATCTGTCAGCAGGATCAGGCAGCATCCTCCAGCATCATATTAAAGATAATTCCTTTATTCCGTATGTTCTAGTGTAAGAACATATAAAAACTTTATTTGCAAAGAAATATATTGTTTTTAATACCTTTTAAATACTTCTTATGAAGAATCTGGGTAACTGCTAGTACATGTGATATTGTTTTAACAAAATAATTTTGGGAAAAGAATACAATTTTCAGTTGCTACCCGTTCAGACTTTGGAAAAGACCCAATAGTTCTTGAAAATTGTTTTTTCAAATTATCTCAAGTTCTGCAACCATGAGCTTGGTTCCGAATTGCATTTGATTCTTCAAAACCTTCAATGTTCTATATATTAGTATACTAAACATACATTACAAGTCTAGCAGAATGTGCTATGACGCCAACTGCAGATAGCAAATGTAAATTAAGGAAAAAGGCTTTTCTAAATAGGCTTTATTCTGTATTTTTTTTGAGCATGCAATGTGTCAACATAAATGAATTTTTGTATTTAAAATATGTCCTTAATCTTGAACATAACGTTTGATCTTTAACAATACATCTGATTATCATATATACAAATATATATAGCTAGCAAATAAGTGYGACTTATGTATTTCATGAACATAGTATGTAAAAATTTGATGCCAAAGCTCTCAAATCTTCATGTCATGCAATTTTGGCTTTTGCTTATAACTCTGTTTTCCATTCTCTCTGAACATTGTGCAAAACAATTAAAGTACTTTTTTAAACAAAGCTAGAAAACTTTATCGTATAATGAAATGTCACTTGGGGGCACTAGTGTTTTGAGTCAATAGGAAACGAAGAATTATGTTTTCAATTAGAATCAAGTAGATGCTAGCATTGTTTTTATGTATTCTTTTTAGTTATTTTCACAAAACTTTTTAACAGCAAATAAAATATTTAAGACTTGATGAGTTTTTAATTTTACCAAGCTGTAACCAAGTTTATATTTTTCTCTGTGAAAAGTCTAGATGTATCAGTTTTCAAAGTTTTCTTAGTTGTTTATTTTTCATGGCAGTTTTCTATTTTTCCTTTTAAATCTCTAGCTATTGAGATACTACTAATAACGAACGTAAGTGAATTTAAGTGAATTTTCTGTATGTAATAGTTGTTTTCCACTGCCAAATATATATATTTTTTTCTCCTTTTATTATAAAGAATATCACAGTCTTTTCACTATGAGGACAAAACTAGACCTGCAAGGCGCTGGCATGAGAAAACGTGCTCTATTTTCCCCTTTGCTCTGTTAAACTTGACTGGTTTCAGAGATTTCTAATTTGATGCAAACAGCAGAATGTTTTATTGCTTTCATATAGCTGTAGAAGCAGCCATCACTTTGTTACGTTACATTGAATAATTGATAACTTTTCAGAAAAATAGGCTGCTCATACTTTTATATGCTTTGTAAATGAGGGCACCAGTTCATGTGAGAAGGCGTAGACTGGGAAGATTAGCCAAACCTTTAGAAAACTGCACGTGTTGCTTGTGTTTGCAGTGCTGTCCTTAAGACTTATTAAAGTATTTGTGATATTTTAGTGTTAATCGTGTTTGCCTCATGACTGGTGAGGAACAGCCTAACAAGAGCTTGGCTGTCTGGGGCTTAGGTCACTGCGGGCCCTTCCAGAGTCTTTGGAGATGCAGAGCCAAAATTCCAGCCTTCTGACGGAGACGTTTAAGGGACAGCAGCAGCTCCACAGTCATTTGAACTGCAGGCCTGACTCTCTAGCCCTGGCATCCTCCTGGCTGGGAAGAAGCAAAGCAACTGCAGGCAAATTCTGCAGGGCAGTTATATTGAACTAAATCCTATTTAATTTACTGAAAAGCAGTAGCTTGAATGTAGTGGAGTTCCTCGTGGGGAAAGACGAGCATGATTTGGTTATATGTGTTCTATGGATAGTTTTATTAAGGACTATATATCTGGATTGCAAGACTAAGCTAATGAACATTGTGATTTGTGGGGACTTGAAGATACGGCTCTCATGCTTCGACATTTCTATCGCCTATATTCCTATTAGCAGCCCAGTGATTCTGAATTRCCCAATTTAATATGTTCTTCCTGGCCGATATTAGCTAAGGCCTAAGTATATTTAATACCAGGGACTACTGTAGGGACTAATGATTTGCAGAGATTTAGTCATACCTGCTAACTTGTCTGCTGTGAATTTTTCCATGATGGACTTTTTAGTCACGCTTGGAGGTGACAGTCTCTTAAGTCAGTTAGGATTATTTCTTTAGTGTATGGAAGTGATCAATTGTAAATAAAACTGTCATGTGAAGGAGTGTTCTAGAACAGGCTACCATCACTCTGAGTGTTGTGGGGGATGAAAAATTGACTCCATGAATGTGCAAACATTCACCTGAAAACAAATGYGACGGGCACACTAGAAAGGTGCATAAGAAGCAAATCAATTAAGGAATGTGTGTTTCATGTGTTGTAGTACATCATGATCTTGGCCTTGAATATTCCTACTAACATCTGCTTTGGTTCTATGATAAATTTGCATAACTCCAAAGTATGTTATTTAAAACTGACATAATCCTCTAAGGAGATACTGCCTGTACTCTGTGTCACTTGCATACCAATGTAAGAGACAAATTTGCTGAAAGAAGGCAGAAAACRAGAAAGACACTTGAAGGATGAGGGTGCTGAAGCACTGCGACTATCTGGGAAAACTCTAATGGTCTATTAGACACTATTCTTGCAAAGTACCTTCTACACAAATCTGAATGAGAATAAACCGTGGTAGCAGAATTTGCTTGCTGGGGGATTTGAAACTATTCATCACTAGAAATCAGCTGCATCAGGGCAGCCTCACACCACTGGTCTGCAACCAGCAGCGCTGACRAGTATTTGAGTGGACTGTGCCCAGTCTTTCATGCATTTAGTCATGATTTCCAGTTAAGGTGAGTGCCTGGATTTCTTTTTAATTTCAGAACCCTATAAATG